GGAAAGAGGAGGAGGGAAGGAAAAAGAGAACAAGGTCAAAAGAAGTGAATCACAGCAAAGAAACCAGAAAAGAGTGAGACATTTTTGCTCCTTTGTTAGAGTACCTCTGTTAATTATGCTAAATTAATATGAATAGAGCTATTCACAGAATAGGGTATGATGCCGAGGAAGAATGAGAGCGTTGTGATTGGCCTAAAATATTTGACTCCAGAGAGTCAACAGAGCTGTAAAACATGTTAGACTTTATACAGCCTTGGTATAATTAGACTGCCATCAATGTCTTCCATAGATGTGGGTCACACCTGAATCATTCTTCCGGCACAAAAACACCATTCTCTCCCCTGGAGAGATCCTATCATCTCCCTATGAGGAAAACAGATTTTGTTTTCAAAGGAAGAAACTTTCGGGGGAGGGGAATAACCAACTTCCTGACTACAGCATCTCATACACAGTAAGCTGTATTTTCTTGGCAGCTCTGTTTTCCTCTGCATAAACTTCACCAGCACATAATTACACTGAGAATGAATTGGCAAAAGGGCAGTGGGAGCCGTTTGAAATGCAAAGCAAGGCCAGTCAGGTTGCTGTTTGTGGTTCTGCAGGGAACATCTGAAGTTTGGCCTATTCTTACTGTTTTTCTATTTGCTTAATCAGAAGTCCAGATCATTTTTCTGTCTACAGTAAAGTTTCTTGAGCTAAAATGGAGGCTGCTTTTGCAAGCGGAGTCAGACTTTTGCTCTACCATCAACAAAGCCTATGACCACGGGGACTTTACACAGCTGTGCATGGCAACGTATCCATGGCCACTTAATCGAAGATGAAATGGTATAAATGGCACTTATTACTGCCTTTTTAATGAGCTGTTGTTAAAGAGACTACCACTGATCAGGCACGTTGGATACTTAAGACATCTAACTCCTGAGTTAAATCAGTGGGAGTTGTGAGCCTTGATGTCTTTACTAATCAAAAATGACTCACAGAGATGGTACAGAAAAACTAGGAATTAAACTTAGGTCTCCCGAGTCTCAGTCCAGTATCCTGCTGATCGAAGCCAGTTAAAAGCCTGCTTTTGGTGTAGCAACACCCAACTCAGGCCAGTGTGAGAGAGCCTTAAACATTTTGGTTTTCTGAAACATCCACAGACTCCTCTACCCATTGGCCGTTCAGAAGCAGCCGGTAAACGCCTTGTTCAGAGCCTTTCCTTTGGGATTACGAGCCAGAGGCCTGGTTATCCATAAGGGGAGATTTTGGTCTGGAGGGAACTTAATTCCCTAACATCTCTTATCTTAGCTGTTTGCTAACTGGAGTGTATGGCTGGCTAACCTTTGCAACCATCATGGGAACCGAGCGGTGTTTATTCAACCAGCTGTCATCCACAATTGCTGACTTCAAGTGCAACTACACTGGGGGAAATTTGTTGTGGTTTTCCCCATTCGTTTTATTACAAAAAGCACTTACCTTCAGAAGTGAAAACCAATGAGATTGAAGGAGGCACTTTTCCCTGGGTCTGAGCAAAGATATATTTTGTAAGACAAAAGGTATATTTTGTACATTTACTTTACCACTGAACTTTAACCTTACTTCTGAATCTAGATCTTCAACTGCTGGTTTTCACCAAGTACTTTCTGTAGAAAAGTTTTATCAAAAAGAGCAACTAACGCAATCTGGAGGCACGCTGCAGGGTGAGAAGGACAGAGCAGATTTCTGGCACAGATTTTCCTCCCACCGCCCATCTACCCTCCCCAGGCAGCTTGCTGCTGCCTTCCTACCTGTCGTCCTTCCAGCTCAATCTGGAAGTTTTTTGCAGACTCCTGGGTCACTCGTCCTCCAAAGTCCAGCTGATACACTTGTGTTGCCTCGTTCCACAAAGGTTGCTTGTTGGCCATCACATACACGAAGCCCTGGCTCCCCAGTCGTCCATCTTCCTTTTCATTGGCCTTCCGGCATTTGAATTCATCCAGCTCACTGGCTGTTCTCAGATTCCTTTTGGTTTTCCATCCCTTTTTGCTGCCCTGACTCTGGTTCATCAGTTCATCCCCACTGATGAAAAGCTCTGGCTCGCTCTCTGAACTATCCTGAAATTCATTTGTCTTGTTCAGCTTCTTGGACTTCAGCTGGTCTTTCTGGCTCTTGACTTTCTTCTTCTCCCTCCCCAGCCTAGGGCTGGATATTAGTGAATTGAAGTCAGTTAGCGTCCTTGCCTCCTTTTTGACCTTGCCCTCAGTGATAGCTTGCACGCTTCCTTCCTCAGCTCGGCTATCCAGGCGCTTCCGGTTCTTCTTGCCGAATTTGTCTGTCCTTTGAGGAACAGGGCTTTCTGTCAAGGAGAGAACCTCCTGAAAGGCGTCTGCTGTCTCCACCATTACCTCTGTGCCCACGTGACCCTGAAGCTCTGCTGGCGGGGGAGACATAACCGGCTTCTCCACCACAAGCAGCGGCTTCAGGGGCAAAGTGCCTTGGGGATTTGGTACAGGCGGGCATGCACTGTAGGAGCTCCACGGGTGCAAGGCTATCTGCTGCAGCTGTAAACTAGAGCAAGTGCTACTTCCTGGATACATAGGTGGCAAAGGACAATAGGAGAGGTTGGATGGATAACCTGGCTGAAGCACTACTGTTGGCTCCTGCTGTGCAAACTGCGTCGGGGCTAGAGCTTCTTTGGGGGAGCAGGGGGGCTGCATTCCCTGAAGAGGAGGGGCATTGTAGCTTCCTGGATAAGGTACTCCAACCCCATAACTCGTCTGGAAAGTGGCAGTGGGACTGGTTGGAGACTTAGGGGAAACAAATGACACTCGAGACATATCCAAATGCTGAGTTTGACCAATGATGAGAGGAGTAGGTTTTAGAGCGTTGGGCACTGAGCTCTGGGATGTCCTTTCCTGAGGAACCCATATCTCCTCACTCACCATAGGGTCCCACTGGTACGGTGGTGGCCGTTTTACACCGATGGCAGCCTCTGTCAAGGCCACTGGGACATGCCGCAATGATTTCTCCACTGGGCAGTGCTGAGAAAGGGCCTCATCCTCTGTGAAGGCAGAGTTGATATAATCTGCCCGGTCACGGGAATTGTCAGGTGGGCTCAGCAAGCTATAAGAGGATTGGGAAGCCAGAGGCGAAGTACTGACAGAGTGAGCAATGACAGAGCTATGCTGGGAGCTACTCCCTGTGCTTAGGTCAGGTCTCAGACCACTAATACTGGAAGTGCTGCTACTAGCATTGGCGTTAGGGATGTTCCCCACACCACCGGTGCTTGTGTTGTTGCTGCCGTTGCCACTGCTGCTACTGCTGCTGCACTGGCTGCAGGTGTACAAAGCTGTGGGTGCTCTCTGCTGGTACTGTGCTGCCACAACGTTGCTCTTGGCTTTTGGGGGAAGCTGCAAAGTGGCTCGTTGACTGTCAACCAGCTGAGCCATTTTCAGAGCTGCCTCTCTGCTGTTCCTCCGCAGAGTAGCATGAATAATAGTGCTGTCCAGCCTCTGGGCGATGCTTCGGCCCTGTGACAGCTGGCTGGCAATTTCAGGGTAAGGTGGCGGATCCCCGGTTGGGATGGAGTAACGAGGGACGGTGAGCCTGTTCAGGGTCGCGCTCGAACAGGGCTGCTGAATCTTCTTCTCGGTGGCTGTAATCCGCAGCGTGGCCGAGCTGCCGGGCCCCGGCAGGGTGTAGGTGTTCTGGGCGCAGAGCATCCGGGTGCGAGGTCGGCACACCTCCTCCACGTTCCCGCTGCTGTCGAACGTAGTGATGCGCTCGTATCCCAGGGGGGTCTGATAGTGCCCTGCCGGGTAAAGGGAAAACTCTCCCTTTTTCAGGCAGAGATCCACCGGTGGCTGCGGGGGGCCGGGCGGGGGCGGCGGGGCCGCC